TCTTCTTCGGCCAAGGCTTCGGAGCTCCCCTTAGCCTTATAGCCCTCGCCCTTCATACGACTTTAACAGGCTTTGCAGTATGATTGGATGATGCACCCCGCCAAAGCTGAGACAGTACCTGGCCTCGAAGGAGCTGCAGCATATTGCTTTGGATGGAGATGGAATCTCAGTCGTACGTAACAGTTCCCATGGCCGCACAGAGGTTTTTGGGTACTGGGGCGTTGTGATGCATTCACGAAGTGTTGCATGGAGTGGACTCATAGGCCGCAGAGGTTGGAACCTCCCATGTCCCCTTATGATCGATGACGCCCTTTTGTTCAGGCTCAGCTGGCGATGGTCGACTTAGATGGTGGAGAGGTCGAAATCACCGCAACCAACTTGGCTGGAAATGAGATTTCTTCTTGGAAGGGATGGCTTGAGCAGGACCCAGTGCTCGTTGCCCTTGAGCTGGAGTGTCTTGTTGGAGATTGCGGGAGTTTTGTTTGAGGGGCCTTTGGGTTTTGCATGATGGTTCTATGCGAGATGATGAGGATGATGATGATGATGATGATGATGATAATCCCTGTGCGCTGCGGCAGTTGAATGAACTCTTGGACGGGTGCCCAATTAGTCAAGATGCACAATGTTTCCGCCCAGCATGGCCTACACCCACCTTAGACTTGAAGCTATAAGGATGTTGGAGCCATCAGCACATACAGTAGGCTCTGGATCTTGAAAGTGACTTGTGCTAGAGTTTCTTTGTTTTTTTTCTCTCAGTTGTGGCGTGGTATTCTTGCGGGCCAGACGGAAGCTGGAGGGATGGACGCACACTGAAGGGTCTGCTGACTAATCCGCAGCGGGTCAAGCATCTTTATGGAAGCTCCGCAGAGATCCGTATGGCGGCATTGCAACGTAAACACGAGAATTTTGTAAATAGTGCAGTTCTAGTTGTCAGCCAAAGGTGATGGCACTGACCGATGCCGAACGCAATCCTTAGTGACTTTGTGCAAGCCCAAGGGCAAAAGAGAACACTTCACTCTAGGTCCTCCTCCGTGAAGCCCTGCCCCTAACCTCATCTATGCGGGATGCAAGTGCGCCGCCAGCCAGGAGACTTTTGCAGGATTGAAGGCCGCTCGCTCCAGAAGCAGAGGGCGTTTTCGAAGATCATCAAGAAACCCATCATGGAGGGTTCAGTTTGAGTTTGGGTTGTTGGGGTCCAAGAGTCATCACTGACTGCACGACGCAGGTAGTTCCAAAGGTCGGGATTCAGGTCAGGACTGTCACTTACCTCTTTGTGTGTGCGTAGACTTCAAGACATGTTCGGGATGCATGGCATCACGTGTCATCAATTGCCGCGGTGTGCCCGACTGAAGTGGTTTTCTCAGTACGGAGCTGAATGCCAGCAAACTTGTGTATACATTCGACGCTCATTCGTGTGTTATTATTTAAGTTCATATTCCTGACGTCAGAAACATCGTTTTCCGACGGACCAAGGGATTGGAAGCAATAGACAGACGACCACCGCTTCTTCAAAGTAAAAAGTCGTGACAGACAAGCTTGCAGCAAGAAGAGATGCGCACAACACAGCGGACGAGCAAGACGCGTTGAGGACGTAAGGCGTCCCATCAGACTGCACGCACCTAAGGATGCCATTGCCCGCCAGAGTGGGCAACTTGATGGGCAAAGGGGTGTTGCTGCCACAAAGTTGACGGTGTGATACAAAGCCGGGTGCCTGGTGAACTCAACCCGCCCCACAGACTTCATCTGAACTGGCGTTCTCCGGCTGCCATACTGTAAGGTCTGTATGATCTGCGGATGCGTAGCTTGGGGAACTTCACCTCGCATTGGGGCGGTTGCCAGGTCAGTCTGGGTGACTGCTCGGCCAGTCTGCAGAGCTGATAATTTTACAACATATGGCAGAGTTAAGTAACGATGTGATCACCAAAATATTAGTCACTCAACATGTGGTATGGGCTGCGCACCCTCCTCCGAATTTCTGCCATCTTGCAGGCCTGCAGTAGGAAAACAAAGGCAAGCAACCCTCACCAGTTATCAGCTGTGAACCCATCGATTAATTGTTAATGGTTCGGTACGGCATGAGGTCTGATCTTCATTCAGCAAGAGTTTGCAATACACACACACACACATGGGCAACTGGCTGATTCTTACATCTGGGGCTTGCATCAAGGCGTGCACAAGCAGGTTGAACAGCATTGTGAGGGCAACTACCATACGTTTAGCTCAGGCATCCAGCATCCGACATCAAGATGCTTGGCAGCATTCGATGTCGTCCACCTAAACTGAAGCATCTGTGGGGCTGAGAGCCCAGCTGACAGAACTTGACAGTCCAAAATACCAAAAGTAGGAGCGATGCCCTCCGAACACAGGTCTAGATTTGGTTGGTTGGTTTGTCGGAAGCCAGAGCTCGAGTCATGCAATCTCAATCAATGGAATCAATATGCTAGGGCTAAGGATGAATACAGCCGTGGCGCACCTTTCTGAAAATGTGTTCACACTTTCGTCCCGGTATGGCTGATAATGCCCAAAGCCAACTCCGAACGATGCTCAGGATGATCTTACCAAGTGGGGAGCTAGTGGGCGAGGACATGCTCGCGAAGAAGCTAGATGCAGCCACTGGGCGCAGGATTCGAAACACACATCGGACTCAGTTGTTGCTCAACCGTGTGTCGGCTGCATGTCTGCTGCAGGTCCAGGGGATGGTTGCGGCTTAGCCGGCTTAGCCTTTGGTATCCCCTCCCTTGATACAGGACCCACCCATCCAAGGCGTCTGATTGAGTTGCAAGTTGCAGGCCCACAAGGCCTCAGAATGACGAAAGAACACTGGAGCCAAGGGTGCGCAAACGCGCCATAAGTTTTGCTGAGCATCTTGTAGAGAGAGAGAGAGAGAGAGATAGAGAGAGAGAGAGAGAGAAAGAGGGAGAGAGAGAGAGAGAGAGAGAGAGAAAGAGGGAGAGAGAGAGAGAGAGAGAGAGAGAGGGAGAGGGAGAGGGAGAGGGAAAGGGAGAGGGAGAGGGAGAGGGAGAGCGGCCCTCTCACCACCAACCGGACGATGTGCGAAGCACCTGCTGAGGTCCTGAAGGGCAGAAACTGAGACATTCCGACATTCCTTGCCCGGCTCATCTCCGAGGCCCTTGCTTCCCTACGAGATCCTAAGGCCATGGTTCGAGTTCAGGTTGCGACGTTGCATTTAAGATGCATTTCCCCGTATATAGACAATGTGCACAAGCCCGCTCAGTCGGCTACAGCATCAGGGCAAATGCACAGGATGCTTTCCCACTCCAAGTGTGCACCTGCGGTACCATTTCTACATCTTTCTGCGGTTCTACAAGCTGAGTCAAGGATCGCCTTTGCTGCTTTGGGGCCACAGGTGTGCAGCAGCTGTGCCCATTCCAGGTGCAACTTAGAGTGTGTGTTTTTTTAAGGATGCTGCACGATACAAGCTGGACAACTGAAATGCACCGGAAGTGATTTGGTTGCTGTTTACACTGCAGTGGTTGCAGCACACTTCCTGTAATTCTGTTGCCGGCTTGGCGGCAATAGTTTTGTGATTTGTGATCAGACAAGCTGCCGCACCGAGGCTGCAAGGCCCGTTCAACTCCTAAGGCTAAGGCCCTCCCAACCTCTTCCGCCGTCATGAGGCGGCGTCATGAGTCAGAAAGTCAGACCGGGTACAATTGCTAAGGCTGCAAGGCCCGTTCAACTCCTAAGGCTAAGGCCCTCCCAACCTCTTCCGCCGTCATGAGGCGGCGTCATGAGTCAGATCGTCAGACCGGGTACAATTGCTATCGCCACGACAATCTTGAAAATGTCATCTAGAAGAAATCATGATTTTCGCTCGGTGGCCTGAGCTGATGGCTTCATGCATTGCTTCAAGGAATTCAGTGCTGCGGCCGTCATTGGCCCCATGCGCGAACTTAGCCACTAGTGGACAAATTTCAAGGAATTCAGTGGCCGGGATTGACACCGCTGCAGCGCTTCCTGGCAAAGGTCCACTCGGATTATACTCTGTAGCGGCATGTGGCTGCTGTAGAAGCTGCCTTTAGAATACGCCGTGCCGGGCAACCCTTGCCGTGATTGCGACTGCAGTGCGTGCTAACCGATGGATGTAAAGGTTGTAATCTTGCAGAGATTCGTGGGACCCCATTTCGGCCTAAGCCGGCCCAGAATGCCGAACATTCCTGTGACCCCTAAAACCCTGAGGCAGAAGGCCCTAAGTTCCATCGGCCATGCTCTGAGTGTGAGAGCTGCCGGGGTGCATCTCTGTCTGTAGGCCCAGCTATCTTAAAAGGCTCGAAAACAATCGTGACAAGAATGGGGATAGCTCTCGAAGGAAACGGGTGAAGGCCAAGGAACCTTAAACCCAAATGTCGGAGAAAAGTCGGCACTGAAGGGCTCCTTCGAATGCTTCGAATGCACTGAGTGCTCTGAGTGCTCTGAGTGCTCTGCCTCCAGAGTTCTGTTACCTCTGACCAGTTCGGGAGGGCTCCATTTCCACCAGAACCTGAGCTCCCGAAAATGCTGAAACACCTTCTAGTTGGCTGACGTGCTATGTCAGATGCCGATGACTGCCGATGGGCCTGGCAGGATGCAGACCATCGCATTACACATCAAACCCAAGCCCGCACCAGCCAAGCATCATTCATAGCTCAGCTCTTCTATTCGGAAGCTTTACCAAGCCGTTGAGCTCAGTCCTCAACACAGCACACTGCGCACCCACCGGCAATTTTCCAGACTGGAAGGTGCAAAAGGCTGGAAGCCTGATTCGGCAGGACTTGCGAGGCACCGATTGGATGCAAAAATATGCCGGGGGAGGGGGGGGGGGGGGTATGGCCGGTGGCTTCGCTGTCACCACTTTGCAGATTGCCAACCAACTGTGCTGCCACAAGGAGCTGCCTCATGAAACCTGGCATGCATAAGTAGGCACGACAGGAGCAAGCGATGACTGCCCAGGCACCTGAGCCCCAAAACCCAAGACAAGTTTTTGCAAGCTCAAAGCCCAGGCGCCTTTGGAGACCACCTCATGGGCACCCGCTGTTCACCAGGCCGTTTGCTCTCTTGGCGTCAGTGTCCATTTTATGGATCTAAAGGGTTTGGTTGTTCTGCAACGTGGTGAAATGGGAGAGGAGCCGTTTCGGCTGACGAGTCTTTGTCGCTGCGTTGTGTCGGGGGGATTCGGCAACTGTGAGCATATAGATCGACAGGCACGAGTTTGGACTATAGCTTACGCTTCAAGTTCAGCGATGCAACAGTAGTCCCTGGACCATCTGCCAAGAGTTTTGTCATGTGCCGGCCAGACGATGCTGCGCTCATGACATGTACATTTACAACAGATGTTGCATGTAGGGAGGGTAACCCTCGAACCATATCGATATGCTTGGAGCAGACTTGGGCAAGAACTTTCTGGGTGTTGAGAATTCCGGTGATACCTCCATGCACGTGGGCTTGTGAGAAACCTTCATGTCTAACGCAGGAATCAAAAGGCATCACCAAGAGCAAGCATTGCGAACCCAGTCCTGCTAAGGGCAGGTGCATAGAATCAGAGCAGGCAAGATCCGCAAAAGCTGTTATAACAAGTGTTGCATGCGTGCAGTATCTCGTGTTGCCGTCGCTGTGTCGACGTGGATGGCTTGGATTACACTTGGCCCCTGTCAGTGAAGCCACTATAACCATTCAAGTTGGTCCTTCAGACAAGGTGGGCCAATGCAACAGCTCGAGGAACTTGATCCTGTTGCGACTAGCAACGCTTACCTGCCGAAAAAGCTAAGAAGCCCCTGAACTTCCTCCGATATCCTCCCTTGAATTGCTCCGTTGAGGAGACTTGGGGATGTACAAGGTCGAGAAGTGCAAAATTGTCTCTAGATTCACTGAAAGCCTTGTGTAAACTTGTAAACTGGCACCTCGCACCTGTTTCAATGTCTGAAGACTTGCAAGGAGCGCAGCTGGCAGCCCCCCGCCCGGCCGGCCTCGAGCTCCTTCTCAGGGACAGGCGCTACAAAAAAGCTGAAGCTTACCTTTGTGCTGGAATTTGACTGGAGTGCTTTTCGGCATCTGCAGGGAGTTTTCAGAACTGGGGTCGGACTGCAGGAGGCTGTATCAGGGGGGATGTGATAGCCCTCCACGCCATCGACAGGCGGCGATCCTTTGCGCTCAGCAAATTCAGGCAAGAGTGTTTGCTGCAAGCCCCAGCCGTCAATTTCACATAAACTACGGTCCGTGATGGTTTTGAATCAAGGCCCCGTCTGCGTATCTCTTGCTGGCAGAAGTGGATATCTCTTGCAATGGTATAACGTCTGCCTAGCGGAGCCGCTTGCCGGCTCTTCGTGTCATGTTCTTGTGTCAAGGTAGTCCGAGAGATCATTGACCGTTGTGGAGCGGTTTGGGGTTGGCATCCGCTTTCGGGTGAAACTTGCTGGGCTAGGGGAGGGAAGAGATGGAGTCCCAAGCTCCTTCAATATTGAGATGCCAACGCCCCGAGACCCGAGGTTGTAGACAAACCCGAAGCAAAGCCTGAAGTGAAAGACCCTAAGCCCTAAGTTTCCTCAATCCGGAGGACTGAGGTAAGTACACGTTGTTTTTCTGCATGAGACAAAGCTCTGGTCAAACAATGTACATTGAACCATACTGCCACCTTGCCCCTTGTGGAAGACCTGGGAAGGTCAGACCCTAATGCCCTATGCTTGCTCGGCTTGCTTGGTGGTCAGTGCATCTCTCCTTGCTGTGAGCGGCCCCAGTTTGAGCAAAATGCTGCGCGGGTTAAAGAAGAGGTTTTGGTGTGCCTTAACAAGGTTTCGTTGTAATTCATGGCAGACAGCCGGACTGTCACGGCGCATGCAGGCTTTGGCGGCTATGGGCACACAGCCGCTAGTAGCCCTAGCGGCCTTGCCGGTGGCACCTACGCGCCAGGATCCCAGCGACGGTCTTTCTTTCAACTTGACTGGTGGCGAAGATCTCGGACAGTATTCGACGATCATACACGAACTACAGGAGCAGGCTTGCATCTGCAGATCTCCCAAGCTAACGCAGATTCATGTGCGGGTTGCATGGCGGCATCCTGACATCTGGGTGAGCACTCCACCCTGCCGCTGAGCTACAGCAAGTGTGCTTAAAAGTCATCACCACCCCATCCCAGGGCACGCAAGAACACCCAACAAGAAGATGTTACACTCTTCTGTCCTTCTCTCTCTCGCTTGCTCTCTCTCCGTCTCTCTCTCTCTCTCACTCTGTCTCTGTGCCTCTGTTGCAAGATTCCGCAGCTGAGCGCCGTAGGTTGGAACAGGTGCAACGTCTAAACTACGTGCGAACTGAATCCAGGGCGGAAGCGGCACCAGGCTCCTTCACAGGCATGGCCCTCGGCTCACCCCATCTCTAGCAGACGACCATCTGCCCCAAGTAAGATGTTTTCACGCCCTTGTGCCTGAACAAGTACGTAGAGGTACCCCTATGATTCTTGTCACGAGTTAATGATTGCCGCATCTCACCAGCCACCGTTCAGCCACTGAAGGATTCTGTAGCCACGTTCTGCAAAACACGTAATTACCTGGTTTAGTCAGGGATTCAGGGACTATGCAGATCTAGAGGGAGGCTGAGGACAGGCCGTTTGAGAGGTCTATTGTGGCATCTTATGATTGCGTTTGGCAGGTGGTGGCTACGCGTCACCTGCTCCTGTTTCGAGCTCGTTTTCAGGCCAGACCTCAGCGTATCCAAAGTTGTGGTGCTCAGCACTCACGTTCAAAGGGCCGCAAACAAGTCTCCCTGTTCTGGTAGCCTGACAGCCTGTGAAGACTGAAGTCTGCTGCGAGCCTGTTGGAAGAATCGTCTGAGAGGGTTTCGGGTTCGCCTTCTCTGGCTGAACGGCAGCTAGTAAGAAGTTGAGACCTGACATGCCTCAGCGCAAAGGAATGTGTGAGGCAATCGTTGAAGCTTCAGCAAGCGGAGCCCCCAAACTCACAGCGTCTGTGCCAGAGCGCAAGTGCAGAGTCTGGTACACTGCAGGTCGCACCACAGCAGTGGAAAGGATGCCAGTTCCGGGGTCATTTGTGATTACCAGCAGACGCAACATGGGCATCGGTTGCTACAGAACCCAACCCTGTAGGCATGCCTGCTGCGCAGCAACCTGCCAGGAGCCCAGAGCCAGGTAGCCTTTTAGGCCGCTTCAGCCTAGGCCTAGGGTTATGTTCAGCGGTTCTGCCTTGAGATGCACGCTTCATTACAGCATGGCATTTAGAAAGCCGCGCGGAAATTGCTTGTCAAGAAGTTGTGGCTGCATTACGCATAGCATGCCAGAGATTATATGCTATGCCTGAATCAGCCAAAAACCCTTTGTGAAATGAGATTCAGCACGATGCCAGAATCATGTGCAGCCAAATGCGTTTAGCTGCTGAGTCCGCGTGCTTACCAAGGTGGCTCCAAACGTTGCCGGGGTCCAATAATTTGGTCTACAAGCAAGCACGATTAGGGAGGGAGGGGAGTCCACTGCTCGCTTGCAAGTAAGTTGCGCCGATTTCACATCCTCACCTTTTCGAAAGCCGTCGATCCCCGGAAAGACTTGGGATTTCAGTCTTCAGGCGTTTTGGGGCTCTGAGTTACTGCTCAAATTGTTCGCAGGGCTTTATCCCAGGCAAGCATGGCTATCAGGTCGGACGGCCCAAGGCCGCGGCAGCGGCCGCCGAGGACTCCGAAGATGATCTCGCAGGCACGGAGTGATGCGGAGTGTTGGAGGATGAGGTATGATTCGCATTTGGTGAATTGCTGGTGATGCCTTCGCTTGGCGTTGGCGGTGAATACTTCATCAGTCGGAGTGCTCGAACTCTTCGGGGTTCTAGCTCCAGGGCTGCCCTGACGATGGCCAGTGGAGGGTGGCGGATACAGTTACGGAGTTACGGCTTGCCCTCAGATCCCAGAGCTTGGGTTTGCAAACCTTCGTGACAATCCCAAGGGTTGGTTTTTTGGTTTGCGTCAGATCTCTTCAGATCTCTTTGGGTTTTTGGAGCAGGCCTACTCGCTTGGAGCTCTGCAGCCCTTAGCATCCTTACAGCCCTTTCCTGAAGGTTGGGATTCATGATGCGTTTGTCTCAGAGGCTGGCGGGCATGTCTGAGGAAGGGAAGAGCAGCCCCATGAAGGGAGATGCAGAGTGAGCTGGGAAGTTATTCGTTATAGTAATAGGCGGCAAAGTGTTAAGAGAGCCTAGTCAAACGGCCCAGAGTCGAGTTAGAGGCATTGCTTGGTTGGCTTGAGTTCAAGATTTGTAGGCTTCAGTTGCAGCCTTACATGGATTCATGCGAGAGCGTTCGCACGGCAGGGGAGTTTTGCTCGAGAGCTGGGCTGCGCGAACACGCACCGACATGAACATATATCTCTGGCCTCAACCACTCCTCTTGTTTGTATCCCAGAGACTGCTGGTGTTACTACCATTTGGTCGGCTACACGCAGAGCCACTGTGAAAGTCAAGCGAAGCTGGCGATGGGGCGGGCTTTGCCTTTGCAGCCTTTGGGTCTAGGCTGAACTCAGTGAACTCAGTGAACTCCGTGAACCACCCCAGAGAAGTTGCAGCCAACATTCGCGAGTCAACCCTGCAAGATCCTCCAATTGTATTGCAAGAGCTCGAGTGGAGTACCGCCCACCATGGCTTTCTCAAAGCTGCAGCAGCAGTCCACGTCACAAGTGAAGATGCTTGGCAGCGATTGGCACGAATGCTGAAACCCGAAGCGGACAGAACGACACAGTCAAGCAAGACCTTCGCTCTCGAGCGGAGCGGGGTTGAAAGATCCTCTAAGGATGGAGCTGATTGCGGCTCAGGTGGGACGGGCTTGAAGGTTTGAGGGTCGGGTGTTTAGGCTGAAGTTTTGTGAGTAGAGTTCAATGGGTTTCAGTATGATTTTCCCAAGCTCTCACACGCCAACAGTCTGAGCCTTCTGCAAGCAGGAGCCTCTCGTAATGAATGACGAATCAAGCTATGCGTTCAACTTCGCCTGCAGTCCCAGAGGCAAGGATCCTCGAGCTTAGCTCCGGCCTTAGCAAGTCATTCTTGAACCCATGGTTGCCCTCGGCCAAGTGAAAGCACTTAATCTCCGAGCCCTGGCTGTCGACTGCTCGGCTGTTTACGTGTGACCTTCAACTCAAGCCCTGAACTGCATGCTGAAGCAGAAAGACCACCTAACCTGAAGCACCCGTGACCCCAAGCCTCGACCACAAACTTCGCAAAACTCGAAGCCTTGAAAAGCCTTGGGACACCAATGGCACCTCTCCGACCTCTCCGACCTCTCCGACCTCTCCGCCTCTGGTGTGCCCTGCTTCTGGCCGTGGCTCCGGGAACTTCGCTCTGGATCTCAGGTTGCGTGGGACATGGGGGGGGCCACATGCCTTTGGGCGTTTCATTCATTCAGGAGGAGGTCCCCGTGCAAGTCAATTCGCAAAGTAGCATGAGCTGCCGGCAGGGGTGCGAGAGCGCGAAAAGCGGGCTGGAGGGTGACTTGTAGAGAGGCTTGCAGGCTTGGAGCGCATCTGGATCGCCTAGAGTCATTCTAACGCGTTTTAGGAGAACGAAACAAATGCCCTGAAGGAGGCCCTGCACATGTCGCGTTTAAAAGGGACTGCACTGCATGCTTAATTAGATTGCTTTCGGCCACGTCAGTGAACCTCCTGTGGCGACAGGCTTTCGACGTGCTGGATCTCCTGGAGCTCGTGCACGCGTCGCGAGACAGCTCTTCAGCGAGTGCATCTGCAGCACTTGAATCATCTTGAATCAACAGAGTCGGCTTTTTGGAAGTCGCATCTAATACTGTTCTTCTGGCGTAAAGAACTTCCATACATTGCAGGCCGAGGTGCTCTGGTACGGTTTCCTACCAGGCACAAGCATGGGAACACAATTGCGAAACGCGTTTTCGATTATTAGTTATCATCTTCACGACTTTTCTGGTATTTTCTTCACGACTGCACGGCCAGGATGGGGTGCGGCTACTTCCAAGGATGTTGGGGATTTCAGAACTTACAGCACCCTCCATATAGACCACTCCGCACCACTTCGGCTGATCGACTGCAATACTACGTTCTCCTGGGCACAGAATTTTCCCTTGTCCTCCATTCGCAAATCCAAGGAACCTCTTTTACCGCCGCAGCGACCGGCCATTCTCAACCTGGTACGGCCCTCCCGTGGTCCCCGATGAAGACATCAAGCGGTGCCTCTTTTCGAATCTATCTTCTCTTTCGGTTTCGATGTGGAGGGTTCCGGTCTCTGGATTGTTTGAGTTTGCGCAGGTAATTATACACCACATGGTAGTGACGAGTGTGCGTTGTCGTTTGGGCCTATGACCAGGTACGTGGACCTGGTGCTGGCCGATCCCATGAGTCCAGTGAACGATCCTGCTGTTCCCGACTTCATCGAGCGTGAGGTGTATTTTGTGGTAGTTCGCTTCGTCTTGCAGATGGTCCATTATGCTTTTGGTGTTGTGGACCAACGGGCCCTGTTTGGACAGACACTGTACATGCTGCAATACCAGGACAAAGAGAACGTGGGCCTGCGTCCCGCAAACGTGGAGCTCACCCCCGAGATGATAAACTTCGCCATGCGAGAGGTCGTGTTCCCATCCAAGGGAGACAAAGCAATCTTCAATCCCGCAACAGACAGGATTATTTACAAAAACTCCGTCAAGTTTGCCTTGCGGCTGGTAATTGACATGGTCTCCTCCGTTCGGCTGTCTGCTTGTGGATTACGAATCCGCCTCGATGTCTCCGCTGACCCCAAGACCGCACGCAAGTCGCTGAAGCAGGGCAGGCTGGATCTCACGACGTTCGAAAAAACTTGCGCGCCCTTGATTAAGGACTTGATGGCACAACGGAGCCTGCCTCTGCCTGGTGGTTTGCAAGAGGCTCTCTACAAGAACCTCTTGCGCACTCTGGCCTTCTGTGCTGCAGCAGCTGTTGAATCGTCTCAGCTCGACATTTTCGGGATTAGCGTGGATCCCAAGCTGGGTAGATAGCTGGCCTTGCGGACCTATCAGCCCAGGCAGGCAATGAATCTCTGACACTGAGTATTTCTGAGTCAACTTCATCTCCTGGAGAGGGAGGTTATGCGCCGTGATGCGACACCTTCTCAATAACTCCTTCAAGGGCCCCGATGTCGTAGGTAAGGTATCGGTGCGGTTTCTCTGGGTGGCCCTTGACGCATTTCTGGAGCAACCACATATGGGCACCGCGGAAACGGCCGGTCCTTCATGTCCTTCACTGCCTGACGTGTTTGGGCAGTGCACAATATACATCCGAATTCTGCCGATGCTCAAAGCCTCCAAGCCTGGAAAAGCTCGGGCTAATACTCCCGTCGATGAAAGATGTTCTTTGCACAGGTTCTGGACTCGGGGTTGATGGAAATTTCTGCTGGTAGGAGCTTTCGGTTCCCAGGACATGATACGGCCTTGGCGTTGAGTCCACTAGAGGTTAGTCCCTTGCCAGGTCCTTGCTACAATCGCAAGAAGCTGCTTCTAGCATTCTGTGCTTTGTGTCTGGGCTCCAAGGTAAAGAGCTCTCTGAAGCTCATCGAAGGAGCGCGTTCGTTTCCGCTGCGTGGTATGTGAGGCCCAGGGCCGCTTCTGAATGCTGAGGAGCCCAAGTTCAGAGTCTACACACACGAGTAGCTCCGTGGGCAAGTCCGCCGCTGCTGACCAAGGCGGATCAGCAGATGCTCAGTGTTGCAGAACAAGAGGGTGGTCGTTATCGGGAAACGCTGCCAAGGGCGGTGTAGTGCTTAAACTTCCTTCACGAAAATTTGCGGCACAATGCCAGTGACGCTGTTGCACTACAGCATGCTTGATCTTCGGAACCTGTCGCTAGCGAAGGCATCGAAGAGCTGATTCGTGACCTCCGACAAAGCCAGGAGGACTATTCCGGGCACACCTGCCGTAAATGTTGCAACGTGTTGACATGTTCCAATCTAATCCCTGACGTCCTGGGAGCAAGGGCTCTTGCATCGGACGTGCTTGGGATGAGCACTTTAAGACCAAAGCAGTGTTACACACGGCCCTACAGCAGTAATGTCCACAACCAGCTTGAAAATCGCAAGGTCAGAGTTCAGGGTTTTGGGGTCATTAACAGTAGGTCTTAGGCCGAGGGCTGGATGCAAAAGGCGTGAATCTACTTGTGGGAGTTTGCAGTGGTCACTTATTTTGTGGACTCGCTCACAAGTAGCATTTGACACTTAGACTTGTTATGTACTTGGTGCGGCTGCGAGCTAGGTTCGGCTGCATCCGGAAGTTCCCCCAAACCACAACACTGTCACAACACCTCAGACCTCTGCGCCTGATTCGTCATCAGCCCATCGGAGGAGCTCCAGTCCGCAGTTGAGGTCCCATTCTGGTGGGTACACACTTCTTTCATGATCGGGGTCTCAACGGCTTGGAAGCTTCAATCGTTGAAGCGTGTGGGTACAGTTGTGATGCGTTCCCTTCGGCCCGAAGTTTCCTCAAAGAGAGCCGTCCTTCCAGTGCAGGCCGCTGAGGCCTCGGCGGGTGAAGCGAACGAGGCGAAGACGGAGGTGAATGCTGGAAGCCAAGGAAGCCCCTAAACCCTAAATCCTAAGAAGCCTGAGTTGCCTTGCTTCTGATGTTTTTCTTGGGGCTGCAGAAGATGTGTAGGAGAGTGTCCGTGGAGGTGTAGGTGCAGGAGGTAGATTTTGGTGTAGGTGTCAGCTTCGGATTAGGAAGCTGTGCTAGTTCGGCACGCAGTAGCGTGCGTATTTCATAGCTCACGTTGGGCGCAGCGGATTTTGATGCCTGATCTACGTTTGCACGATTCAAGCTGTCAAATGTTTCTTGGACCTGGATGTCTTGGCCTACAGGAGGACAGGGAGGGTTGTAGTACTGCATGTTTGCTTGATTTGTAAGAACTACTGCTCTTAATTGCACTCTAACTGAAGGCTTGCCTGCATCGTCTTCTGGTTTCGGATCGGTGTAGCAGTACAGCCTGCTGCCTAGTTGTAGATACGGACTGCAGTTCGTGGAGATTGCCCGAACAACAACTGCCATGGTTGAGATCCAGGGAGATGCAGATGAAGGCTCGGCTCAGTGACGACTGGCACCGGAACCCCACAGCAGGAACCTTTAGACCCACAAGGGGAAATTGGGGTTGGTTTGACAGACGGAACAGGCAAGTTCGGAAAAACATGTAGCAAGTCAGGTGCCAGTTCTCACCCACGTCAACGGCCCTAATTGGTGCCTCACGGTTCGGTTGTCTTCCAGATCCGGCGTCGGGTGTCCTCCATCTCTCTGCCGCATTCATTCATACACCTCATACATTCCCTGTTTTTCATTCCACATTCATATAGGCTCGTATACAGCACCAATCAAGGTGAAAGGGGCTTCCTAGGCCATGTCCGAGAGTACATCCTTGCCCCTGGAGGCCTTGCAGCCTTGCAACGCGAGTTGGCTGTCCAGAGGCTGCCGGCACGATTGCAGTAGGGCGATCACTCGAACGGTTGCGACAGGAGGAGGGGTTCTGCGTTTATGAAGGCAAGTCCTCGCTCTGGGGGTCTGTGTTGTTGGTGTTGTTTTGTGCTTTTCTGCTAGTTTCATCTAGCATGTTCGGTCCTGCAAGTCAACGAAACGCATCGTTTCGTCATAGTCTGAGCGTTCTGTTTTTCCCCTCTAAAACTCTCTCTCTCTCTCTGAATCTCTCCTCTTGCGTGGTCTCAGCTGGAGCGTCTTGCCTGTTCATCTTGACTTCGCCCTGCTGGCCTGCTTCAGCCCTTGTCTCTGTGATTCTCTGTGTCTGTGTGAGTGTCCTGGCACTACCAGCTTGAGAGCAGCCAGTGGAGTCACAGTTTTGGCTCTTGTATTCTCCACTGGTTTTTGGCACGACCTGGATTTGTCAGCCCGCCAGAGACCCAAAGTCCCACGTGTGTTTTCTCCAGATAAGCTGAGTCACTGGACGAGTTGACTCCACGACTTTGTCACTGTGGAGTGGGTGCTTCGGATGCGCAGCCTGGGTGGTACAAGAATGTCTGCGACAGCAGGTGTTTGCTTGCCTGTCCGGATGTCGTGGCAATTGTGGGAATTGTCTCGGATGGAAGCTGACCCCCAAAACCTTACACCCTAAACCCATGTTTCACGATGGGGGCGATATTCGCTCTTCGGAGATGGGGCTGCAGAAACCCCAAACCCCAAGCCCCAAACAACCCTAGTCTTGGCCACATGTGCTGCAGAGCCGATTTGAGACTATTGAACCTGTGTACCTCGCCTGGCTTGTCCGAGTGTGAGCGATTAAACAACCCTAGTCTGAAACCCAAAACCCCCCCAAAGCCTTCTTGCGGCAAGGCAGAGTTGCGACAAGCTCCGAGAGCGAGTGGCGCAGACCAGGCTCGCGAGTTGGCACGGTCCTGCAACTCTAAACTCACTCTCCTGCTTTATCGTGAACCCTCCAACCGAATGCCAATCCTTGGGGTCCATCCGTCGTACTACGCGAAGATAGGTTCCTGCGTGGATTTTGGGATAGGAACCGCTGCATTTAGCTTTTTGGGTGGCTTGAATTGCGGTGTTTGGGTGGAGAAGGAAGGGTCATTGCCTCATCAACCAGTCCAGTTGAGAAGCCTCGAAGCATGGTCGAGTGTGAGAGTTAATGACTGTGCAAAGTGGTAGTTCATACGGATCTAATTGTGGCAGAAGTCCATACATTTCAAAGCTCGTTAACTAGCCGTTTGTTCTGCGCCATTTACAGACATTTTCACTCACCATCCATGGCTAAGACCGACATGCCCGATGCGGTTCCAGCAGCTTTCAGAGAGCAGTTGCCTTGTGGAGACGGAACACGCCAGTTCGGTCTTTGAAGCTCATGACCGTTGGATGTTTCTCCCGCTCAGGGAAGAGAAGGCTTCAGTGATGCGTGCAAGCTCAGCACTCAGCAGCGTGCAGCAGAGAGAGTGAGAGGTCAGGTTTTGGAATGGGCTAGTGTGCTCATCTAGGCATACTGTACAATTTGCCCCACCGAAGCCTTGAAGCGAAGCACGCCATCGAGATCTTAAAACAACGCTCCACCGTGCTGTTCACGCGCGCCGGAGCAAGCGTGCAGCAGGAGAGACATCAGTTCTACATGGCAGGCGCAGTACTTTCAGGGTTTGTGACTTTGACAAGTCAGGACGGTCGACGCACGGCAATCATCAGATTTTTGGTCAAAAACACGCTGCGGCTTGGGTTTTGGTGACATGCAGGCGTTCAAGTAAAGCTGCAACTGAGCCAAAGACCAGAGCCAGTCGGGTGATGATGGCTGTGTTTTAAGCTTTGAGTGCTAAGCTCACGGCAAACACGAAACCCTGAGCATCGATAGAAGTCCAAGACCACCAAAGACCGCCTCAGCGAGAAGGGCGTCAGGAGAAGAACACATGGATGCTCTGACCAGGCGCTTGCAAGGGTAACACGGACGTTATCATCGTGCGGACATGCATGCTCTGGTAACACGGACGTTCTCATCGTGCGGACATGCATGCTCTGGTAACACGGACGTTATCATCGTGCGGACATGCATGCTCGGGTAACACGGACGTTATCATCATGCGGACATGCATGCTCGGGTAACACGGACGTTATCATCATGCGGACATGCATGCTCGGGTAACACGGACGTTATCATCGTGGGGACATGCATGCTCAGGTAACACGGACGTTATCATCGTGCGGACATGCATGCTCTGGTAAGAAACAACGGCAGGCCCGACGTTTTCGACTGCAAAGTCCCGGAAACACCGCAAAGAACGATGCATTCGATGCCAGCACGCCCGCTCCGCCACCACCCTCCGAAAAACACGACAGGCGCGACATTTTCAGTGGAAATGGCCACGAAACACCGAAAATACCGATGTGGTCGGCATGTGCGCGGCGCGCGTGAACAGCACGGTGGTGCCTAAAACAAGCGCCCCACCGAGACGGTGTAAGACTATGCCTGCATTGTCAAGTCTCAGACTGGCAAAGCCTGCACTGGGCCTACACGCAATCTGCATTCGGTGTGAGAAGCAGATGCAGTGCGCAGTATGACGCTCAGAAGCTGCCACGACATGCCGAGGTGTAAGTGACTGTAAGTGTTACCCACGACAGGCGATAGCCTGATGCAGGGTTTCCAAAGCCTAAGAAGTCCTTTAAAACCCGAGCAGTCGATAACATGTGTCAATACCATGGAGCCAAGGAACCAAGAGCACATCCAATCATTTTCTTCTTGAAGGAGTGTTTATGTGTTCTCAGAGCCGCGAACATCCAAAATTATACTTCGGAGACATACACCTTCCCCAGACTTCCCGAGTCTCGATTGGCTTCGGTTGGTTCTGGTTCACAACGAAGCCGGAAACAGACACGATGTTGACGTCGTAGCCAAATCCTCTTCGAACTCAAATTCAGCACTTTTCTCGGCTCGCCTGCGGCTTTTCTCAGACTTTCGGCCAGAAGGCAATATGTCAATATGTCTCGCTGTGTTCAAGCCTAAGTATATTTTAGCTCGACACACCGGATCAGGAGGAGTCATATAGGTGGTATAAAGTTCTGGCTTGCCACATTGGCTTCAGGTCTCGCTGGCGTGGAGGCTTGGGCATTTGACATGTTCAGGGTGTCCGGACTGGTTCCTGGCTTGCGATCTAAAGGGTTCGGGAAGAACACCCTGTTGTACGGCATGTCTGAGTTTAGCTTGGGGACAAGGAGTTGCTTTGCTTGGTGATTCATGTGAAGCCTTGATTTCTGACGGTCGCAAGGGCTGGGTCCAAGCTCTTCATCGTTTCGTTCACGCGTGGTGTAGAAAGAGAGATTGAGGGGAGCTGGAGGGTGGGGCTCAGGTTGAGGAACTGCTGCAAGCCAGATACCCATGACCCACTTTGGGCCCGGGCTCCAGATAGCTCTCCAGCCCTGGGCTTTCAGCGGGGAAGGGCTTCGTGCTTCATGTTGCGGAACATCTCTTGGTCTGGAACAGGCGGCGCGCATCCAGATTGCGCAGATGCGGCAAGAGCTGGAAATCCTGCAAAGCGAGAAGGAGGAGGTTTCTGCTGGCTCTGATTTGAGCTTGAAGGATTTTGTCTCGGGTCTCGAGGGGTTGTTGTCATATCCTGGTGGGGGTTGGTTGAGCACACGATGCCCTCCGCCAAGCATCCTGGCCACACCTGCAGAGCTACAGAAGTAGACATCGACACCTTTCGACTTTGTCTCCGAAATTCACGGCATGATGCAGCCACGAGCTGTCTGGGTCCTGGTACAGTCGGGTTCTTATATGCGAATCAGAGCTGCAGGAGTCACCGCCAGATTCGCACGTGGAGGATCAGGCCTCCCAAGATTGAGCGTTAGTTTGGACAGGCCTGAAATCCGTGATGTTGTTCCTGGTTTACGTGGGGTTCAAGCAGCGCAGTGTGTGCGGGTCACAGCGCGCAGGCATCTGTTGCACTGCTAAGCGCTGCACGGGTTGAATTGCACCGTGCATCATGCCACGATCACGTGAGACTCGGCCACTTGTACTGAGCATTCTTTGGACATCCTGGGTCCAGCGCTTTTGTCGTGGTCTTTCCCTTTCGAGCTTTTGAAGGGCACCATTGAAACAGAGCAAAACTGCACTCGAATCCGTCCACCCACAGCCTCACAACTTGAGTCTGCAGGGCCTGCTGTGATAGTCAAGCTTGTTGGAGCGCAAAAGTCTCCTTCAGGAAGCAGAACATAGCTGGCGCCAGATGAAGCTCTTGGAGTGTCGAAACCTGCGGCCGGGGCCTTAGCAGTAAAGGGTGGGGGCCTGCAGGTAGGGTAAAGGGGCAATTATGCAGGGCTTCAAGGTTCTGGGCTTCAAGCTTTAGGCTGGTTTCTGAATCGTCGCAGTGGAGTGGTTCGAATTTGATGAAATACCCACGATGAGACCCTTCTTCTACTTGCGAAGTGCGGGTTCAAAGAGGTTCAAGGTTGGGAGGGAGTCGAGAAGGCGTGAGATGGTAAGAGGTGAGGCTGAGGTGTTCCGTGTCAGAATGTTTTCAACCTTAAAAACCAAGCACGCTCGACTGAGCGACGGCGCCTTTATTGCACTAAAGCATCCGATGTTGGGCGGCCAAGCTTTCGAAGCCATCCGGCAAAGTAGAACCAGGCAGCAACCAGACAACATCCAAAAGTAAATTTGCATCTTTCCTGGGGTCATCCGCTGTCCATCTAGCCAGAGTGCTGTATGGACTCTCCGGTTTGGAGGTGCAAGGTGGTCCTCCCGCAAAACTGTTTCAGGTCTTCCGGCGAAAACAACCAGTGTCTCAAAAAGGGTTGAATGAAGGGGCAAGAACTGCTTGGGATCTGAATGCCATGGCAGCCCCAAGCCAAAATGAGAAGTGGTCAAGTTTTTGCTGCTTCACCCTCTTGAAAATTCTAGAGGTTTAGGCTGTTGACACATTGGTTTGTCGCCAATCCAAAACCAGTCCCATACTGATCCTCCAGTGTCACCCTGCCCCGGTTTCACGCGGCTGGGTTCCCAGGCACGAGCTATCCAAGTGGCAACATCAGGCCGTGACCATTGGATGTCAACGTGACAGCGTTCAGGGGTGCTCAGGCATGTCAGCCCAAAGTATGTTCTTCCTTGAAGTTCATGTGCCAGGCTCCTCTTTAGTGCAGATTGCGTGGTGTGCACCACTTTGGAACCATTGAAAGGTTCCGTTCCATGTTTCAGCTCTAGGGATGCCACAGCATCCACACTGCCATGTGCACCAAGTGGCAAGGGCGAAACCCGTAACTGCAAATGTGCAATGTCTGCAACGTGCATGTCGGCCTACATGTCATACGTCTTTGGTGAGCGCGGACGTCCACTTAGACATGGCGATACTCCTGACAGCCGCTGCCTCCAAGCAATGTGCGGCAACAAGTGGTTGAGAATTTGTTTGTCACGCCACCTTGTCTAATTTGCGACAGTCGTTCGAGAGCATGTGTAGCACCAACTGATTGGAGCCTTCCCCTTCTGCACTAGTTCTGAGGTGTAAGGCGAAGTCACCTGAAAGCCATCCAGGAAACTGTCACGTTGCCAGGCCTCGACATTAGAAGCCAAACGGCCCGCTGATGAGCAGGAGGTGTGGGCACCGCCAGTTTTGCGGTTGGTGTCTCCTGATCCTGAAGTAGCGTATGTCCTCAGAATATGCGCGCCTGTCACATCCGGTGACACGCTGTCTGTTTGTTGAAGCTAAGCTGCTGAAGTTCTCCCTGCATGGCGCGCGACAAGAGCCAACATGGCTCCAGCACGCTCACAAAAACAGCATAGATGAGTCAGGTAGTCAAGAATAAGAAGTTTCTGTGTTTGATGCAGTGCTGCACCGCATCCCAGGCTACGGAGTTAAGGAGCTCTTTCGTGAAGTTCCTAGGTTCAGCAGGTATCGATGCAGCGTGAGGTCAGCATGCAGTGCAGGTACTGCGGCTAAAGGCAGAGGTCATGCACGCGCAGGCGGGCGGCAGTTTCTTGTTTTACTTGTCTTGCTGTGCCAACAAGGTCCTATGGAGGCACACGTTGCTCGTGATACTCGGGGAAAGCGAAGCCATGTTTATACAGTTCCTACTCGGGGCCACATCTGCGACTTCTCCTATTGTCACGATCTAGCTACAGGTCAACCCACTCTGGGAGTCTACTGGAGTTGCGTTTTACCTGAAAATATTGAGGAGAGTGGCGCGGGGGGGGGGGGGGATGAGTGCGCGTTCTCTGAAGCGCGCGTGCTTCGGAGAGCTCCATGCGCAGATCTGGATCGAGCGCGTTCTCTGTGAGCGCATGCAGCAAACAGCGGGTAAAATCGACAACTCGGTCTATAGACCTGTCAATAACACGTAATTACTGGGTTATGCGGATCTTGGGTGTTGGATCGCAGTCTGCATGAGCACCTGTGTGCACGTCTATTTATCTCAAGCGCATGTTCCGGAGAGCTCCGTGGACGGGGATCGTTGTCTCCGTCAGAGCATGTAGTGCTAGTTACTTCTTTCATCTCTCGATCGAGTGTTCTGGGTATGTAGCTCGTGAGGTCCGGATCGCGACCTCTATGAGCGCGTGTTTCCTCAAAATTTGGATTGCCCTGGGATCTTGAGTTATAGATCACGGTCGGTATGAGAGCATGCTCGTACGTTGTAGTAAGCATATCCACCAGGGAATCCAGGCTAGCTTTCGTTGTCCTCGAACTTGCTCCTCAAGAAAGGCGTAGAAGCTTCGCAAGCTCATCTGTCAAACTAAGCTGTGCTTTGCTGTGCTTGGGGTTGGGACTCTGGGCACCATGGGCGTGGCACAGGACATCCTGGAGTCGACTCGCAATGCTTGCCGCCATCTGGAGGCCGAAGAGACGTACCCAAGGAGCCCAATGCAACGAAGCATCGGTTGCCTTCCCTGGAGTGGAAGAGCCTGGGGGAGAGAGGGCATTGGCGCATGTTAGTGCAATCTTGGAGTTCCCTGACTGCCGTGGGCCAGTGTAGAGATCCATGCGCGAAGGTGGAGCAATCTATTCCGAACGTTGAACATGAGGCTGGAGGGAATGGCCATGAAGTTTTTGATAGTTGTTGCAGCGGAGGGCAGTCTAAGGAAATCGCAGAGAGGTGATCTTCAACCAGTTCGGCTCTTGTAATTCATTTCGCCTACTTCCAGAATTACATGTCAGTTTGCTTCATGTTGTATCTGCCATCGCTGCGTCTCCTCTTCCTTCAACTTTGATTTCTGCCTCTTCTGCGGTATGTCCCCGGTGGCCAAAGCAGACCAAATTCAGGTCCTGGTAGTTGATGTGGGTTCGGCGACTTGCTTTTCAGGATGATGACGCGGATTATGACGTGCTGTCACCAAAGCAGCCATCAGCCCACAGCGGCATTCAGGCCACGCGCTCAATTCTGTGTAAGTCAGACCCTGCACATCGACATCGTGCTTTGCAGTCGATGGTGAGCGTGTGGCAACATCTGGACATTCTTTCTCAGGCAAATGTTTTTGCAATGGCCATGCTGGTGGTTTGGCATCCATTGAGTCAAGAACCTTCTTGTGTTTTCCGGGTTTCTGCTGCGCAGTACGATGCAGCCCTCTCACTCTGAGCCTTGCGGCTTTGTTTTGAAATCCTTTAGCAAGGACAGCCTTATGGCGCGCATGGTCGTGATGAGCTTTCGGGGATTGCCATTGTCAGGTCTTGGCTGAGAAGCGCTTGCGCGAGAAAGCAGAGGACCAAACCTCAGAACTCCCGTTGAAAACCGCAGCACCAGGCCACGATTGTGACTACGGGCCATTCGCAGCCTACACTGAAGGAACCTGCTAGTGCTGCCCCAAAAATGTGAGTAGAAGGACAACTGGCAAGACTTGGTGCAGGGAGACGAGTTTAGGGCACAGCTTAAGGTTGGTCACAGCTAATTCTTGTTCTTTGTTGGCAAGTGAACATATGCAAGGCAGGCCTTGCACATTGAGCCAAACACTCCGGTCTGCAGTGGAACACCGTAGGGCCTTGCGCTCTTCCTGCAGGAGCGGGGCACGCAGCTGGCAGGAAAGGCGAAACGATTGGGACAGGTGCTGCTGGCCCAAAAGCTGTCTGGGCCCCAAAGCGGTGCTATCACGCTTTGCCTGCTTTCTGGTGATGTGGCTGTGCCTTGAATGGCAAAAGCGTGAGCGGCGCACAAGGGGTGGTTACAGTACCGATGTGGCTCGCACCCAGAAAGCAACAGCCTTTTTCTGGTTTCGGCACTCGAGCAGCAACCCTGAGCTCGTTTTTGCAGAGGCCTTTCCAACTGGCATGTGTCGGACTCCAATCTTTACTGTAGGGGCTTCGTGCTTCCCAACATGTTTTTCCAACCCGGGTTAATTGTTGCCAACATGTCCATTCAGTCGCCTCTCGGCACGTCCAGTGCTCCATGTCGGCTTGAACAAAAACTGACTCATCAAGCTCAAGCAAACTGTCAGATTCGCCTGCGTTCGGCATCGGAATCCGAAGCTCGGGGACAGCCATCTGAAACGGAGATATTGGCTGCGAAGCTGGCTGGAAAGCACACACACACACACAACTTTGAACAAAGAAACCCTAATCCGAACTGTTGGATGGAACATGTTGGAAAACCTTAAGAAACCTAAAGGCCTCGGGGCAAAGGGAAGAACAGGTATGCGTAACCCAGGAGGCCTAATGTGGGTGGGACGCTTCCAAACCGAAGCCCTGCCCCAGGAAAACTGAAGTTATTTGAAGCATTCTGAGGCCGTGACCTCATGCAGAAGCATTGAATGCCACATCCCCTTGCAGCTAAGGCTGATCCAACGCCTTGAGAAGCAGATTGCCGAGGAAGAGCTGTAGCCTGGCTAGGTTTGGATTAAGGGGATCATGAGATGGTCGGACTTCTGTACTTCTGTCTTCCCGCTTGAGGAGTCATGACGGGAGTTCACAGGCTTTAGGCCCTTTAGGCTTCGGCTTTGGCCCTTTCCAGCAAAAACAACGAACTATTGGAGCTGAGCAGTTCGGATGCGTGCGCAACCCAGGTCGCTGGTAGATGACATGTGCTGACGACTGTTTTGTCCTCGCGCCCAGGCGTGTGGAGCAGAAAGAGCTCCGCCTGGCTGGTGAAGAGAAACTACACGTCCAGCTCAAGGCCGACCATGAGAGTGCCGCATATGCTGGGACCAGCAGGATGTCAGTAGGATGACGGAAGCTTGTGAGTCAGCTGTTCTCTACTTGACGTGGCGTCACATCGTCCTGTGTTTCCATGCAAGGCAGACCCTGAAAACCCAAGGAGTCCAAATTCATGGTGGTCTTTCGACTGCGAGCCATGGTTCATGCTTGCATAGGCTTACATGCTCGCATATGCTCACTTACAGGTTCAGGGTTTGGAGCATGAAAGAACAAGAATGCAGGATGGATGTAGGTTTGATTGGTGGAGGTTTCCGGATGCCGTGCTTTTTAAGTTTGGAGCTTGGACTGGGATTTCCGGTCGGCCTTTGTCATTGCAGGTTCAGGCTGCCGCGCTTGAAGCTGCGAATAGTTGTGTTTGTTAGAGTTGCGGTGTGGCCTGCCCCCGATGTTCTATAGATGGGCACGGGCAGGCCCCGGGATGTGCGTGGTGTTTTCACGTGCCATATGCGCTCCCTCCAGCACCTCGGAAGAGAAGGAAGCAACACAAACAGAAGGGGAAGAAGAAAGAAGCAGCACATCTCTCCCCTCGCACCTTATGCAAAATAATGGCAGACCTGGGCCTGGCTTGCACATCAAAGACATGGGCACGAATCTGTGGCACCGTGATGTGCTGAACAGACTGCAGGTCGCTCTACGCCAAAGATCAGATGAAATCGTGGCGGCTGGCCTTGATTGGGTTGATGGAGGGATGGGATGAAACCTCCCCAACATGTCGGGATGTCTTCGGTTGGCAGCAATGATTCGGGCACTTTCACCAGTTCAGCTGTATCTGATTGCCTCTGCCCCCAAGAACAACATGACATCGTCCAAGCGCCTCAACCTCATACTCAGCTGCCCTATGTCTTGTGAGCGTCACACGGTCAATGGTGGGCTAGACGTACTGTAGTAGACCCTACGCTTTCGCGGGTGGAATGCTAGCAGTTTCGAGGGCTGCAGGCAAGCAGCTGGAGGTAGCATCTCACGGCTCTGGTGTTGAATCATTTTGAACACGCAAGCTTTGAAGACGATATCACCTCAAATTTGCAGAGCGTGCACATCGTCCTGCCCTTGAGTACTCTAAATTTCTACAGTGCGCACGATTTAGCGATTCAGTTTGGGCTGCAACTCCAGAAGCCTCGTTCCCCCATGGCACAGGTCGACAGGATCCTCGGCAAGCTCTCTGTGCCACGAAGGGAGAGGGATAAGGCAGTGCCTCCGGTGGACTTTGCTCATGTGACTGCAAGAGCTCTTAAATGGGTTCATCCCACTGAGATGACACATTCTGAAGAGTCGTGAGTATTTTCCGGAAGCACAACATGCACAGGAGCTACCGCAGGGCTTCACACCACCCTCAACGTGAAGTTGCAGCACGTGCCCAAAGATGCACACGCGCACGGCCAAGCAGAAGTGCACACTGTACACACATGCGCACGCATAGAGGTTGAGACGGCGCAGGGCATGCGTTCAGTTGAAGCTTTCTTGATCTTGTAGAGACGTGCAGGGTCTGAGCGGCGCAGTCTGCACATGATTTTTTATCGGCACCCATGGCAGGTCAAACAATCTCTCGAAGAGCCTTCTGTCCGCTCGAAGTGACAACCTGGGACATGTGCAATTGTGGGGGCATGTCGTTGGGAGGAAAGTATTCACAGTATTCGCCAATTCAGTTTGTAGGAGAACTCGGCTTCGGCTGGCCAATGCTGGTCTGCCTCTCACATGCCCAGCTTGTGCTCTCTAGCAGAGGGAGCCGTCTCACCTTGCCACCCTACCAATGTCGAAGGTTCGAAGCAGCCGTGCAGTTCGACAAAATAAAAAGCACATCGAAGTCCAGCGGCGGCACCAGGATAGGGTTGCATAGCAGATCGCAGCGGTTGCGCAGGCAGCCGAGGCCACAGGTCCCTGAAAGGGATGACGAAACCCATGGAGACTCGAGCATCCGTGCCAATATCGGCCGAGGTTTTGGCCTCGCAGGGCAATCATCTTCGAGGGAAGCATAGAGTAGAAAGGCATGGTTGCTGCATACATAGCTTCTGACTGGAAAGGTTCCATGTGCCCATCTGGCTTTTCCCCCCCCCCCGATGGTCAAATTGCTGGTGGTACGAATGTCGAACGGACTGCAGCGTGACGATTTGTCGATCAGCAACCCGATGCAAGTTTAGGTTCCGACTACCGCGTTGCAGCATTAAGGCAAACGATGACAAATTCACAATTCGCACAAACCTGTTTCACGTCTCACCGAGTATCCTGTCGAGACTGCAGGGAAAGATGCGGGGTGAGTTCTATGTGCAGCTGGACAGAGAGTATGAAATCTGATGGTCTCGCCTGAAGCATCTGAACGATGATCAGGTGGTTTTGCTTGGCAATACAGTACCCCCAGGGGCAAGTGACACCTTGCTGCCGGTTAGCTCTGGTTTGCTTGAGATCTCAGCCGGGCTGTACAAGAGCAGGCAATGCCCCTAAGTGGATGGTGCTAGATAAGAAAAGCCATATCTAGCACGCTTTGGGCAGCCTAGGCAGGATTGTGAGGGTTTAAGGGCTTAAGATGGCTTAAGCAAGGCTTTCTCGGCTTAACGGGGGGAGGGGGGGCCGGGGGGTTGGCCGAGGCCCTCACTGCCGAGCGTTCGCTGCTGCGGAGCGAGCTCTCCGAGGCCTGGACATCAGAGATCTTTAGAAAAGAGCTTAAGGCGCAATTTAAGGCCTGGCTTCAGCTCAAAGCCAGTGTAAAGTCGCGATAAACGGCTCCAACTCCACACGCGCTCCTTTGGATTCTTTTCCTTGTCAAGCGGCATCAAGGCGAAGGAGTCGGAGCAGTCCCAGATCACTGGGATGAAGGAGCTCAGAGAGGTGCGGAAATTTGTGGGCCTTTCAAGGGGGCTTGGAAGCATAGGCGCGGGATTGCTTAGATTTGGTGTCGAGTACACTGGCCGCATTCCGGCATATAGGCACTGAAGGCCACACGTGTGCCGGTCTTTACATGCGACGTGCGTCTCCACGCGATCCATCACCACCAGAGGCCGAGCAGTCCGCCGCTAACCAGCTTGCTATGGCCAGAAAGGAGATTGCCGAGGCAACGCTAAAAGGTTCTCTCGTGTCTGCATGTGAGGTGCTTGTTTCTCCAATCGTTGGTTGAGGAGGTTGTGAGGTTCTTTTCGGTCAGTGTACAGGTATGAAGGCGCAACGGGCATACTAACGGTCTAGAAAGTCTCCCCCGCCCTAATAGGTAGCGTAGCTAAATCTTTTTTTGGTCCCCTCAGCTATAAAGCTTACGTAAGACTCGTGGAAAGGTTCGGATTCCATTGTAGAGCCGTAGGCCGTAGGGTGTGTTCACCATGAGCTATTGAGCAGGTGCTCCAACAGCGGGAGGCGGAGGGTGCGGAAGTGAGCTGCTGAGTGACAATCTCTGATACATTTGAGGGCGTTGATGTTGCTGCTGTGTGGCTGCTGCTGCTGCTGCTGCTGCTGCTGCTGTTGTTTCTGCTGCTCTGCTCTCTTGGTGCTGCAACCCAAATCCAGCTAACGCTTTGAATATCCCAAGGCCAGGAGCACAATTTCCAAGCTCCAGAAGGAGCTCGCAGAGGTCCATTGAGACTTGCTGGGCCTTTTCAGCCGTAGACTGGCAATACCCCCCCCCTAGAAATAGGGTTTGGGGTGGGGGGGTCACCTCAGGGCCCACCTATAAAAAATAGGTGGCAAACCTATTTTGGTCAACGTCCCCACCCTGACTAAAAATAGGGCTGAGAGAGCCGAACGTCTGGAGAGACACATTGTGAGCCATGCAAAGTGTGCGGAGCACTACAGCGTGTTAGAGTGGTCCACCCCCCCCCCCCCCCTGCCCAGACCCAACCCCATAATAGGGCCAGCCCTATTTCCCGGCCCCCCCCACCCACCCCCCCCCCCCAGGCAGGGGGTATACTGGCAATGCTTCGAGGACCCATCCTTAAATGTACGCTATAGTGGCCCAACTTTAGGGACCGGATCCCGGATCCTGCGTGCACTAGCTACGCTCTCCGAATCTAGCACGGCTCAATTGGCCCAACTCCCTTGCCCTTGCTGTCTGTGGTTGCCGATGCCCCCAAGTGCTTCGTGCGGGACTCTGCAGTTACTAGCAGCTACTAGCAGTCGTCATTTTGCCTCATTTTAGATCCACTCTCAACCACGCGGTGTGCCTTAATATGCTATAAACGACATGTTGCCATGAAGGTACGGGAAAGGTCCCATGGTCACTACAGGCAGCAGGTTTTGCCAGCGACTCAATTGCACAGGCGCTGGCATCAACGAAGCTTTGTGAACCCACACCGGACGCTGGCGAGGCCTCACGAGCCCCTGCCCAGCCATCAGCATGATAATACTGTATTCTGGCTCCGGGATCAGCACACTGTTTATGCTGTTGTTCCGATGTTTGACTGGCACGTGCCTTATTCAAGATCGCCTTGCGAACTACTACGCATGTGATCCAAACCTGGGAAACTATACATGCACCGGTTATTCCTTGTGGATGACAATCACACTGATGCTTGGGCGCAAAAGCATTAATTATCGCTGCACAGTATGTGTTGTCCCCTCGGAGACCAAGCTGCTACGCCCTCTCGGATGCTGCTGTTTCTTGCACAGGTTCTTTTCAGAACCCCTACTTATGGGGTTATTGAGGTTTGGACTGATTTGATAGGTCTCACAGACCGAAAGAACGCACCTGGCCCTTGATGCCGGGTGCGTGTGCTTTTTTGCGATGATTTGCACGGGGTGCTGGCGTCAGCGCACGTGTTCTGGACTAAACAACACAATAGGTCGAGAATTGACAGGTACCAAGCCAGCTGGGAGGTATAAGCTGGTGCAAGCCGGCTAAAATCATTATAATGCTGTCGCTGCTGCAAACGACCGGCCACAAGGCAGTGCAGCATGACAGTGATCCTGTGCTTCTCTTAAAAGTATGATGGCGATGCAGACGATCTATGCCAATTCACAGTTTTTTATGCTGCAGATTGCTGCAAGAGTCGACCCCCCTCCTCCCGTGATGGATATCGCCGAGACCCCATCCGAATTGTGATGGGGTCTGACTTTGTATTCGTATAACCCTTCGCAAGCTCGACAAGCTAATGCTGCTTACAAGGATGCCACAAGCCGTGCAATCTCTAAACTCCCAAGCCCCAAGCAGCACTTCTGCAGGCTGCTAGACACAGAGATGCCTTGGCCCGTGGCTTAGCATCAGGGGTGAAGACTCTCTGGATGCGCGGCCTTCACCATGGCTCTTCAAACGCGCTTATTTTGCATTTTCTTGTGGTTCAAGACGAGAACACAACTCGAGATAACTCGAGGACACTACACTGGCGTGCGCCCATGCGCCCATACACACACACACACACACTGCAAGCGGCAAACTGGCCTGTGATCCAGCACTAGAATTCCCAGACAGAATTCTGAGGTGATCGAATGCGAAGTCCTCCGTCTGGCACTCAGACGGGACTTCAGATTCAGGAAAGTCCGAGACTGAGACTTGAGAATCCCCACCTTGGGCAACGTGCCAACACCTTCGGGCTCGAGCGGGCTTCGACGAAGCAGCCGGCTGAAAGTCACATAGGATGATGCTGCTTTTGCAAAGCTGCTTGCAGACCCGATCAGCTGAAAGAGATGGCGTGCGCACTCTCTCAGAGTGAACGTCTTCATAGCTTCGCAAGACTTGGACTGCATTGAAACGGCATTCACAGGTTGTGATTGGTTATCCTGGGCCCCCCCATCGCACAAAGAAAGTTCGCAAATCTCTTCTTCGTAACATCTAGACATATCCAGGAAAGGCGAGAGCTCCTGGGTTCTGGGTGGGTACTTGTTCAGAACAGCACACCCGGTGCATCATGCTCGCAGGCCTTTTTGGGCACATGTCGCACGGCTTGCCATTCGCAAAACTGTCATTGCATCCACGTAGAAGACCCGTGCAATCCTGTGGGTGGAGGTGAGGAGGCTCGCCAAGCCCATGAAGAGGCACGCCAGGCGCGGGCAAGTCGAAGGGCGCTAGAATAAGCTGTTCGGCTTCAGATGGCTTCAAGTTGTAAGAAATGCAATCTCCATGCAAGCCAGGTGTTCTGTAACTTAGGACCCAGCGGTGAGCAACATGCATCCTCATCGGAGGCCAATGCCCGCGCTGCTGCGGCCAGCCGCGCCTGGGGCCGTTGAGCCTGGGAAGCCCAGAAGAATCAAAAAGCGAGCGTGGTGAACCGTTTGTTTACTTTTACTATATCTTATACCGGCAAAAATGCCTCAGAACTTAGATGCTTGCCATAATTCTGATCGACTGATGTCATCAGATGTTCGAAGCCTGGCCGTCTCTGTATGCACGCGGATGAAGAGCCTGCTTCTGAGCCTACGCCATCCTACGCCACAAAAGCAGTGAAGCTTGCAAGGTTGACTGTTTCGACAGCGTCCCGCACGCCGGGAGCTGCTGTGAGCCGCGCTTGTCCACAGAATTTACATGTGTAGACGCGGTTCATTACCTCGAGTTCGACCGTTTACATTTTCATCTTGATGACATTCAGGCAAGAGAATCATGGTGTGGGGCTTTATGTGTGAGAAGCTCAAGACAGCCATGAGCCGATGGAGGTTCCACA